ATTCTACACTCCCTGTGGGTTCGACCCTTACTCACTACTACTACCAGTTGGTAGAAGTTGTAAGGAAAATTAAATTTTACAATTTGACTGTCTTGCGACAGGCGGTCAATGTCAAATATAAAAGACCTAATATTGAACTCATCTCTCGAATTATGAACAATATTGTCAAACAAAAGCATTGATCAAGTGCTAAACATGGAATAAGAATAAAATATTTGAATAGCGTTCAAAAGAAAAACAATTAATTATAAATAAATCATCTAAAATCCTAACATATTAATCCACTACCAAGTCTTAGAATCAATAAATCTAGTCACTCATGTTCGAATTCAAATACATAGACATATTAGAAATCGACATGATCAATAAAAGTTCAAAAAGAAAGAAGAAATATAAACTAAGAATCTCGTCGATCTTTCAATCTCCTTGATCCCTTCGTATTTGATCTTCTTCTTGGTTCTCAATTGCTTCTCTTGTGTGTTCGAGGGCTTTCTCCTTGCGTATTCTCGTTCCTCCCCTCAAAATAAGGTAAATATGCGTTTTTATATGTCCAAAAGCCCTCTCTTTAGGCAAAAAGGCAAGAATTAAAAATCAGCCAACGCACGCGACACGGCCAGTCTGCCCGTGTCACAGGCCGTGTCGCAGCCCGTGTCAGGTCCCTGGCTTCGAAATCTTTGTGTTGAGGTGACACGGCCTCTGACACAGGTATGGTGCCCATGTTACTGCCCGTGTCACAAATCTGCACTCTATTTTTCACTTGTTTCACTCGTTTCTTCCGTTATTTTCATTTGTGCACCAATATTTCATCATCTCGGGGTTCTTAGGTACCCTCCATGCTTCTCCACACGCCATAAGCTCTATAAATATGTGAAATTATTTACAAAAAAGCACGTGCAATACATTTTCAACAAATATAGAATTAAAGAATAATAATGCAATTTATACACCAATAATGCAATGACTAAGCTCTACATACTCAATAAATATAGTGTAAAATCACACATGAACAGTACCCGCCCTGTAATTTTGTGCTCCGACCTTCTTTATAGAATAGACTATTTACTTGGGCACTTGTTAGCCTAGGTTCAGACTTTTCGTTTGGTTGTTTGTTTTTTCTCTTTCTCGTTTTTGTTATCAATTTTTGTTTGGACATTTGTATACCTGTGGCTTTTTCTCCCATTTAGGGTCTTGATTATATACACGTTGAAGATCCGACCTTAATCCTCTATGGGTATTTTCTTAAAAAGAAACTTTAATCATATATAATTGTGCGTTTTAAAATAGTGAATATTACATAATAACAGTTAATGTTAACTTAAATTGTATACTAAGGTAATACTTGATCTATAATTGAATTGTAATTCATATTATATTTGTTAATACTTTTCTTAATTTTATTGCATTTTATAATTGAAATGATAAGAAATGTTAAAAAGTAATTATAAAAAAACTATATTATGTTGTTTCAATTTCAAAGTTTCATCATTTAGTTGCAAATTTAATTTTAACCGATTTTCTTAGTGACTTTTTATATTTTTAAAGTTGATTTCAAAATAAATGTTGAATTAAATCTTTCCCCTTTCCATTTTCCCCTTCTAAAACCTAAAAACCTAAATTCGCGCAATCGTGTGCCTTTCCCCAGCAGGCCTCGGGGCCATCTCGGCGGCGGCCTTCGCTCAGCCGTGCGGCTGGCTCTCAGAGGCTCGTCGGATTTGGTGTCGTTCTTTGCTTCGGGTGAGGTGGCGGGTTCTCCCCCTTGGGTTTGCCTTCTTCTCGGTCGCCAAGGTGGGTCGTGTTTCGTCGATACTCCGGTATTTAGGCGGTGGCGGACGTCCGTCGAGTGTGTGAGAGCGGATTGTGGCTCCAATTGTTCCCTTGTTAGCGGTTGGGGCTCAGATCGGGTCGTTTCCACTCTCCTCTCTCTTTTCGTTTTTCTCTGCCTCTCTGGAGCCATAGGGTTGCGTGGGCTGAGGTCGGTCGGATTCAGGCCAGTGCCTTGTTCCCAGGTCATCGGGATTTGAAAGGTGGAGTTTTGTATTGGATCTCCGGTTGCGGGTTGTCTACCCGAACGAGAGGCAAGGTCTTTTGTCTCAGTTCTAGTTAGGCTATTTATCTGCAGTTTCTAGTTTTGCGGCTTGGATTGGGTCTCGGTCCTTCTGGGCGGTCGCTCGTGTGGGTTAGCTTCGTCGAGTTTGTTCGTGTGGGCTTAGCTGTTGGGGGAAGGGCTCCAGTTTATTTTGTGTTTTTGTTTCTTTGTTTGTGTTGTGTTGTAGTGTGCGTTTGTGTTTTTCTTTGTCTTTTTCTCATAGGAGAGTGTATATTCTCCCGTTGGGGGTGTGTATTCTCCCGCTGGGGAGCTTTTTATTGTGTGTTTGTTTCGTGACTTATTAGGCTGCCTTGCGTAGGCCTCCCTTTTCCGACTAGTGAGCCGGTTGTAAGTATCTGTTTTTATGAAGGAATTCTATCATTTCGAAAAAAAAAAAGAAATATTGAATTAAAAAAATATAAATCGATCGCCCTTTTTCTACCACAAGACTCCATTTCGATATTCATTCGTTCTGCGTCTCTGGTCAACCCACATCTTACACACAACAATGGAGAAAGTAGAGCACCGTATGGTCCCCGTCAACGGCCTCAACATCCACGTGGCCGAGCTTGGCCAGGGGCCCCTCGTCCTCTTCATCCACGGCTTCCCCGAGCTCTGGTACTCGTGGCGCCACCAGATGGCATTCGTGGCGGCGCGCGGCTACCGAGCGGCGGCGCCGGACCTGAGGGGCTACGGCGACACCACTGGCGCGCCGCTCG